GATCAATGAAAACACGTAAACAAATAAAAATGACTTTATTGGATTTATCGAATTGAAAACTTTCAAAGTTGTATTTCATTATGCTAATATGCAATATAAATTGAGAGTAATTAGAGCTCAAAGTTTATTCAGTTTGACTCGAAAAAATCAAATTAGACAAATACACTGGGACGGAGATAGTAAATCATTTTCGAAGATAGGAAGTAGTAAAAAAGACCACCTAGGCTACCCTTAACCCATGTCAGAGTAGTGAAAAGATAAATCATACACGGTAAATCATACCGGTTAGTATAAGAAGCTATCACATTTAATACTCCCTCCGTCTCAATTTATTTGCAGCACTTCGAACGACGTGCAAAATATCAATCTTTTTTAAAAATCACTTTAATTTCAAATTGGTAGAGTAATAAAAAGTAAAAATTACATCATTCAAAAGTATATGAAAAGCTCTACAGAACAAGATGCGACAAGAATATTTTATTTTATCAAATGGTCAGCCAAAACGAGTAAACAAACAAAATTTATCGAGAGGCCAGAATAGTAAACGTGGCATTCTTGCTGGGACGAATGGAGTAGAATTGAACTTCCATACATAGCCGCCGCCGGGATTTGCTTAACAATCTTCCTTCTTCACACCCTCAAGACCAATTAAGTTACCCACATGGGCATAAATGTTAACAACGTTGTTTTGACATCAAATTTTGATGTAATATTCCCTCCGTCCCGGAGTATTCGTCCAGTTTTGACTTTTGAAACTGTTCATTTAAGCACTTTGACTCATCAAATTCTCTCAATGTGTAAGTCTAAATATAGTCATGTGTGATCTTGTTTGATTTGTCTTAACATATAGATTATTAATATATAATTTCTATAATTTTTTAATATACAAATTACAAGATAAAATGGATTAAAGAAGTGTATTGGATGATGTGTAAAAATGAAAGTGGACAAATACTCTGGGGCGAAGGTAGTATAATGATGGGACATGCTAGGGTGTCCCGAAATGGTTGCTATCTGGGATGCATTCATGCTTCGTACAGATGACACAAATGATAATCATTTGTGCAACACAAATGATAATCAACACAAATGATAATCATCTTTGCGAAGCATAAGTACACCCCGACAAGATAGCAGCCATTTGGGAGCACCCTAGCATTTTCTATAATGATATCAACCACTTACAGTGCTCCGTTTATCTCAAAAAGTGGCTCTTATTCCCTAACTCATCAAAAAAACTTCCTAGCCAATAGTAAACTTGTTGCCAATAGGCGAACAGGAGGCCAAGAGTGAGGTGCAGGGGGTTAGAGGTAGGAACCACTGCACAAAAATTAATTTTCAAAAACTCCAATTTGTTTTTTGCTAATTGATTGGGAATTTTACAGAAACAGCAAAGGGTGGAAAAGACAAAAATGGTGTGGAGAAGATTGGGTGGACTGGACTTTCAAGCATGTGCTTGTTGTTATTAGGTGCTCTTTTGATTATTTGGTAAATTTTATATATATATATGCATATTATAAATGTCTTTTGTGACATTTTTAATTTGGAGCTGTTTGATTTTCTTACTGAGTGCCACCCAATGAATGTTATGTTTTCATTGTAATGAATGGTTCTTCCTCGCTAGACTTCTTTTTTGTTCAAAGAAAGAAGTCTTATTTGAATAAAAAGTTTGGCAAAGTTTTTAAATAAAAATAAAGTGCATCGTACTAGTTTTTTGTTTTTAATTATTACTAGGAATAGACCATATAGCACACTAAAGTTTTTCATTATTATAAAACATGAATATCAAATGAATTGCAAATTTTAAAAAACTTTTTTATAAATTATATTACTCGTACAAATAGTGGAAACATCATCTAGGTTGTATATATCAAAATCTTCAAACCAATAGGATTTGTTCTTGAAACTGCAACATATAATTTACTTGCTAAATAGAACGAGCAATAACTTATTTACATAGACCAAAGGAAATCGAAAAAGAACCAAAATTAAGATTGATCAGGATTAATAATGCAAAATGCAAAGTTTCTATATATAATAATCTCCATAAATACTAATCTTCATATCTCTATGATTAATAAAAAGTATTCATATATAAAAATCTCCATAAACAATAATCTTCATATCTCCATATATAATTAAAATCTCAATATATAATAAAAATTTCATTTGATTTTTTCTAATTTATTATTATTATTAATAATGAATGGTGAATATATTCTTACATATTGTTTGTCAATTATCCCAATTAATAATAATAATAATAATAATAATATAGTGTTAATGTGTCTAAATATAGTAAAATTTAATGTATGGTAAATATATTCTTACATATTGTACGTCAATTATAATAATAATTAATAATAGTAGACCGTGTTTATGTTCCTAAATATAGAAAAAAATTATATATGATAAATTTTATGCATCGTATATTAGAAATCATCCTAAATAATAGTAAAACATAGATAAAAGTATCAAAACATGACTTTCATGTTTTTATTTTTGAAATAAGACTTCACACTCTAGTAATGTAGCATTGTACATATGCACGTTACTAAATTTTTTAGTTAAATACATGATCATGTTTGGTAATGTAAATGCATTTTAACTACTATTTCGAGAATAAAAATATGGAAATTCTATTTTGGTATGTTTTCAATGTCTTACTCTTATTTTTGTCTTTTTCCCTTTTTATATATTATATGTCAATTTAAATAAATAATAATAATAATAATAATAATAATGGACCATGTTTATGTCCATAAATATAGTAAAATTTATACATGGTTAAGTTTCCATAAATAATAATACGAATAATAAAAATATTATTATTAATACCCCACCTTATATTTTCGTCTCAGTCATTTATTTATATTTATATGAATTTTAAACTAAAATTTATATCAATTTTAAATTTTTTATTATTACTATTATTCGCATTTTCAAATACTATACGCACACAAAATTTCAATATATTATATAGAGATATATAGAAATCCCCGTAGTGTCCATGTAAAATAATATGCATATATAATAGTATCTATATATAATACAATAATAATAATTTCTTTAAATAATTAATTGGCCAAACACACATAAAATTTCCATATTTTAATGTTATAAAACTTTTTCATAAATGTTTTAAAGCTCTTTTTAAAAACTAACAGTCAACTTATTTTGGGACGAAGAAAAAAGACAAAAAAACAATTTAAATTGGAACAGAGAGAGTAATAATAAAAAAAATTTGTGTTTGAAATAAAGAATTAATTAAAATAAAAATAATTAACATACACTTCATTTGTCTTGAATTAAATAATTTTATTTTGTTCAAAAGAGATTCTTATTAGTTCATTTTCATGATACAAAAATTAATGAAATTTTTTCACTATTTTACACTGAAGCTTATTTCACATTTTTTAGTTTTTAATTATTTTTCTCTTTATGATTTTTAAAAAAATAAGAAGAAAAGTATATGAAAATATAGTTTTGTAGAATAGGAAAATTAAGTTATGAAGAAAATTTGTTACACATTGATTCAAAAAAATATTATGAATATATAATCAAGTAAATATTAAAAAAACTTTACTTTGTATTCTTTTGGTCACAACAGATCTAAAAAAATTATTTTTTTAAAGAAAAAAATGAAAATATTTAATTTGAGACAAATGCAATATATTATAAATTTTTTATTTCAAGCACCAATAATTTTTTTTTAAAAACATTTTAAAAACATAATTTTGAAAAAAATATATTTTCATTATTTCAAAGGCAATCATTTTTCATCTTTTTAAGAAAAAAATATAAAAAATAGGAGGCTTGGTGCACATTTCCGAAATCACGGAAATATACATTTAATATTTGAAAGATATTTAGTCAAGAAGAGCACGGATGCATGAATTTTAGAACCACATGAGTCAACAACATGAGTTTCCCTCTTTTTCCCAAATAGCTTGACAATTATTTGTATAAATCGTCATGTTGCAAACCTAATTTCTGTACGGGTACTCTCATCCCCTTGTTCTCCTTTGATTTGATCTACTTGTCCATTCATCAGTAGGAACCGTAAAAAAAGAGAGGCATTAGAATAAATGTGTTTATTTGTTAGAAATCTAGAAGTGATTATAATGCCAAACATTAGAATGCATGTTAAGGCAATAAATCACTTTGAGCTGCAAACAATATTACTTTTGATACTAACTTTAGATTATGGATTTTTCATGAAGTGATACAAAAATAATCACTTTTGTTAATTCAACACAGTGACAAACAGGCTCTAAGAGTTAGGGGGTGTTTGTTTTTTCTGCAGGAAAAGGTCTGCGGACCACTACTGTAGACATCTGCAAGAGAAGTGGTGGACCGAAGGTCTGCGGTCTGCAAGAAGAAGACTGTTTGATTTTTTAATGTCTATAGACTGCTATATAAATTAATGGTGCTAGTGTACGGTGGTGGTGTATGGACGATTGTGGTGGTGGTGGAGGGTGGTGGTGGACGTTGACGGCAGTGGTGGTGGACGGTGGTGGTGGTGGCGGTGGCGGTGGATGGTGGCGGTGGTGGTGGACGACGATGGTGATGGACGGTGACGGTGATGGTGGATGGTGGTAGTGGTGGACGGTGGCGGTGAACGGTTGTGGTGGTGAAGAGAAGTAGAAAAAAAGGAGAAGATGTTAGAAGACATTGGTTAATGTCTTCTTCAAGAAGATGCCAGGGAGACATTTTTGAGTGAAATGTCTCTCAAAAAACAAATAATCTGCAGAGCCCATCATCTGCGCGCGTCTGCGCGGCGCAGACAAAAGACGCGAGAAGATCTTCTGGCGGAAAAACAAACACCCCTTAGTTTTAAAAGCTTCAACGCATTTTCTTTGTTTTTTCCCTTTTCAAATCTGGGATTTTGTAACTTTCTGTTCAGGGCCGGTGCAATAGAGGACAAAGAGTCCATCCGGACAGGGCCCAATATGTTTTAACTATAAGTAGCTCAGCAGTCCAGCACCTAGCCTAAGTCAAAGGCCCATCTTTTAATCGTCCAAGCGCCGTAGAAAGTAAGTCGCAGAGAACCAGAGAAGCTGACGCAGAAGCTCGCACGCAAATCGATCGGAAAATTCTGAGTGCCGGTAGAGACACCGCCGCCGCCGACCCTCCAGGTATTTCGCATTCACTAGTCACAAGCTTTCCAATTTTGTAACTTTTTTCTTTCTTTCATAGTTTCATTCTTTGGATTCAAAATCTAGGTTTAATTATTAGTTTTTAATTTGAAATCTTTGCTAATTGCTATGAAATAGAATGAGTTAATGGTTCTATATGTTCTTTATTTGATTTGGATGAATTGATTTGAAATAGAATGAATTTATGATATATATAATCTATAAAAAAACTGAAAAACAAAAAAAACTGAAAACTGAAATACAAAAAAAACTGAAAAATTGACGCATTGATATGAATTTACGATACAAATAAAAAAATATGAAAACTGAAAAAGGAAAAGAATAACTGAAAAATTGACGAATTGATATGAATTTATGATATATGACTATGATTTTATCATTTATTTTTTTCTTCTAATAATATTGCGTTAATTATCATTTAAATATAATTGATTTACATATGTTAATTTGTTACACCATTAGGGATAAGATTATTAGGGCCTTTTTTTTCTATTTTGGCCCAGGCCGATGAATTCTCAAGACCGGCCCTGTATCTGTCGTTAGTATTTTGCGTTACCCGGAACAACTCCAATTCTTTGCGCCTTGTCCCTAGAGAGTCTGCTTTTATCTTTATTACGGAGTACTTATTCTATTTCCAGTCTTGTCTTGGAAAATTTGCAAGCAAACTGTTATATACTTCATCTGTTCCGAAACAAGCATCTCACTTTTTTTTGGTTGTCCCAAAATAAATTTCATACTTAAAATAATTTTTTTTAAGGATTGGAATATGTGAGTATGTGAATCACAATCTTTATATCCCCTCTAAACAATTTCCGATCACACACTTTTCTTAAGTTTCGTGAAGGCAACTGTTAAATAGAATTTGGGTTGGAGGGAGTATAATCTAGTTTTTTTTATCTTAAGAGGGATATTGGGTAGAAATGTAGAATGTTTGAAACATTCATGTACAATTTCTTTTTTATTTAAAACATATTATCAAATATTTATTAATGAGGATGCTATGGAGAGACTGTTAAACCCTGTCAATATCTATATTCAAATGATGACTTATTTTGTTGAACTTGTGGAGGTTTTACAAAATTGAATGTTACGTAGTTTACAAAAAAGGTAAAGAATTTCCAAGTGCCGGTGGATACATGTCACTTATTATTTAAGTTTTTGATCTAAGAACTAACACACGTTATCCACTTTTAATTCACAGTTATGAACATTGTAAATTATTTCAGTTGCCTATAATGGTGCACTTTAGTTTTGAATTGTTTCTTGTTGAAACGATGAAAAAGCCAAATAGTTAGTGTTTTGCTTGTGCATCCCACTTTGATTAGTTATTGTAGCAGATTGGTACGTTGTGAAAGTTATGGATTGATTTTCGCATAATGCTCTATGAACATCAGTGATTGTACTGTAGAAACTGATATGTTGTTAAAGTTACGTATAAAGTATTGCATGCACGGCTCACTATTAATTAGCAATCACCAATCACAAGTGATGTTATTGTCGCAATTGTATTTGGCGGACAAATGGGCCCCAAAACTGCACAATAGTAAGCCAAGTTGATAGGCCAGTTTTTAATGAAAACATTGATGTATTGATGCTGTGTGCATTTTTCTTGCTAGTTGGTAAAGCAATAAAAAGTTAAAAACAGTGAGATTTGAGCCATTAAACCAGAACTGAGGAAATTGTTAGGAACACTTCCAGCATCAACTTTTAAAACCACCATCCGGGAGTTATGAATTACTCGCAGAATGCCATGGCAACAAGTGGTGCTGGTGGAAACAGCATGGTGCTCTCCATGTCCACCGTTGCTTCGCCTGCAGACTCATCTGCGTCAGCCACCACTGGCTCACCAGCGGACGATTCCAAACAGAACCTCAACCAAGTCATCAATTCTATACAGAAAACCCTTGGGATGCTCCACCAGCTCTATCTCACCGTGTCTTCCTTCAATGTTGCTTCCCAGCTTCCATTTCTCCAACGCATGTGCGTTCTGCAAATTGTCCTTTGAAATTTTATATGCTGGGTAAATTTCACCAATGGTACCTAAACTTTAGCTGGAATTTCGAAGTGGTACCTAAACTTCAAATCCTTTCAAAAAAATCCCTAAACTTACACAATCCTTTCACTAAAAGTCCATTTGCCCGTTTTTAGGTTAACTTCTGGTCATTTGGGCCAAATTAGAATTTTATATATTTTAAAATTTTCAATTTGACCCCATTTCTTTTGTTTTTTTCTTCCGCCCTCCGTCTCCGTCACACCACCTCAAACTCGCCGGAAAATCAATCTGGTCCGATTTCGGCGAGACCAACACCATTCTCTTCGTCTTGAGACGAGGATCAAGAATATCCAAACCATTTTGTCCAATTTGGCCTGTAACTCCTCGAATTTGAATTTTTCCACTCGAAAAAACTCTAAAATCCGAAATTGGGTCCGAAATTGGGGGTTTTGCAAATCGGCATCAAATCTTGCAATTGAGGAGTCTTTGGGGGTCGCCGAGATGCCAAGAACACATTGGAGGGGATGGGCGGCGTCAATTTGGCCGGAGGTGGCCAGAAAACGCCCCGACCCGCCGGAAGGAGGCGGCATTTTCCGGCGGGTCGGGGCGTTTTCCGGCCACCTCCGGCAAAATTGACGCCGTTCATCCCTTCCAATGTGTTTGTGGAATCATGGCGACCTCCAAGGACCCCTCAATTGCAAGATTTGATGGCAATTTGGAAAAAATCTCAATTTCGGATTTTATAGTTTTTTCGAGTGGAAAAATTCAAATTCGAGGAGTTACAGGCCAAATTGGACAAAATGGTTTGGATATTCTTGATCCTTGTCTCAAGACGAAGAGAATGACGTTGGTCCCGCTGGAATCGGACCAGGTTGATTTTCCGGCGAGTTTGAGGTGGTGTGACGGCGGCGGGGAGCGGAAGAAAAAAAACAAAAGAAATGGGGTCAAATTGAAAATTTTAAAATATTTAAAATTCTAATTTGGCCCAAATGACCGGAAGTTAACCTAGAAACGGGCAAATGGACATTTAGTGAAAGGATTGTGTAAGTTTAGGGATTTTTTTGAAAGGATTTGAAGTTTAGGTACCACTTTGAAATTCCAGCTAAAGTTCAGGTACCATTCGTGAAATTTACCCTTTATATGCTAGAGTTCTTTCTAGTTTCTACTGCTTTATTTATTTATTCGTTGAATACCACTAGGAATGCTCTTGTTTTGGAGCTTGATAATATGACGAAATTGGCTGAAAAATGTGATATTCAGGTTCCCATGGAGGTCCTTAAGTAAGACGTCTTCTCTCTTCTGTAATGTTATATTGTTCTAGATTTTACTTTGATTTTTTTCTCATTCTGCTCTTTTTGTTTTCACTTGGTTAATTTCTATGCAGTTTAATTGACAACGGGAAGAATCCAGATGAATTTACTAGGGACGTTTTGAATAGTTGTATTGCCAAAAACCAGATTACCAAAGGAAAAACTGATGCTTTCAAGGTGTGGTTTTCTGTTATTTTTCATTTCAAATGTTTCTACTGGCATAAACATCATTCCGAGGTATTCTTTAGATGCTTCTGCGTTTCTTGGTGCCTTAGAGCAAAAATGAAAGTCCAGAGTCCCTAAAAGTTACAGTGACATCCTTATGTTTCTCTTCCCTTCATCCACAATCAGTTTCCCTACCCCATATATCGACACAGTCTCTTGGCTGATTCAATTAGACGAACTAGATATTATTTTCTTAACCTTGCATAGGGTTTGCGAAAGCATCTTTTGGATGAACTTGAAGAGGCATTTCCCGATGAAGTGGAAGCTTATAGAGTGATGCGTGCGACTTCTGCTGCAGTAAGTTTTTCAATTCTTGAACTTGCTACAATAAAGCCAAAGATTCACTATCTTTTTGGCTTTGGGCTATGATGGAATGAAGCAAAATAGATCTATCTTTAAATTGTTCGCGCTTCTTTCACTAGTGAACTAGGAGTAAGTCAATGCAACTTTTGATGCTCCTCATGTGTCATCTGGAAACAGCCGCTCTATGTTTTAAACATAGGGGTCAGGCTACGTGCATCCGACCCCCCCATACCCCACAATGGGGTAATGTCGTTGAACTTGCTATAATAAACCTCGTGGTATTTCTCCTACAATATGTTTCTCTTCCTTTATTGCTTCATGTTTCTTAACTTTAAAATACATACTGATTATATGGAACCAGTTAACCAAATTTAAATAACATGTTGCTGCTCTACAGTTCATTGTTTGATAGTATTTGGATGATACCACATGAATGTGTGCAGTACATATCCCCTCTAAACTGAAATAAACTTCCATAATTGACCACACAGTCACTAAGAAAGGTGAAATTGTATTATCGGGAAAAAAAATGTTAGAACCTCACATTTTCTTCAAAAGGAAAGTGTAACCTTTTCTTGGGACAAACAAAAAAAAGAAATATCTAACTTTTTTTATGGGACGGAAGGAGTATAATCTATGAGCTAAACCAATGTGGCAATGAATCCATCACGGTGTAACTTTTGGATCATATATTTTATATGCTTGGCTAATTTGTTTGCTTGTTGCAGTTTGGGTTTCGAATATATTTTATTGTTTTGGATCATGTAATATTGTGCTTGTAATCTAGTCTACTAAACATGCACTCTTATAGACCTTCATATGATACACCACTCTAAACAGTTGGTGACTATAATTCTTGTCTTTGGATTTGGCAACAGCATTCACTTAATCTCGTTTCCCGACATGTTTCTATATAGTAGTGATTACAGCAAGTTATCTTTGACATCCCAAACAGGAAGCAAAACAGTTGGCTCAAGCACAGAATGCATTAGCAAATGGGGATGTAAAGTCGAAGCCAGAAATTTAAAAACCGAGGTTTGCTTGTTTATCTTGGTTCCTCCACACCCTAATTGCTTTATTTGAAACTATGAACATTTTGAACAATGTAAAAAAAGAAATTACCACAACAATCTGATACACGCGAACAAAGTTTATTCTCGAGTACTCTAATACTGTTTGTATCTGTATGTGTGTATAGCGCTAACTCGCGACGCGAGCATTGCAAATATGGGCCCCGCGACAAACCCGTTTTTGCAATTTGCTATGGAATGTTGTAGTTGTAAATTTTAAAACTGTTGACTAAATAGTGAGTAATTCATGTGTGCACAGGACAGTCCTTTGCTTGTTTGTGCAATTTACAGTGATTGAATGCAATTCAGGAGTTCTATTATTTCACATAAAAATAAAAGAATTCATATGTCAAGTAATTAAAGTAATATGCAGTAGTTCTTTATTCTCATTAATATTTTCACTTTTTTTGGTTCAAGGAATTTGAGAGGGAAAAGAAAAAATATTAAAATGGGAAACAGTTTTTTGTTTGGTTACAAAGGAAAAAAAAGAAAAGTCACTGAAAAAGAAAATGAAAAGATAAAATATACGAAGAGAAAGAAAAATCAAAATCCTCTCATTTTGGTAAGAAAAATGAGAGAAATCATTTTCTGTTTTCTTTTCTTTCCTAATTCCTTGAACCAAACATAGTGTTAAAGCATCAACCCATAAAAAACGAATCCTATTATTTCTTTTTTTTGGGGGGGTGGAAATTTCATACGATTTAGGAAATTCCAACCCTTTATCATCCTTTGTATGTTCTATAAAACCTACCATTATTTCACATTTTTTTGGCCCCGTTTGGTACACGGAATTCAAATTATGGAATTGGAATTGAGGACTTCAATTTCAATTCTGGTGTTTGGTAGCACAAAAATTACGTGGATTTGGAATTGATAGTGCAAAAAATGAATTGGAATTGGTGAATTCAATTCTATGAAATTGAATCTCATGGAATTTCAATTCCATCAATTCCGTATACCAAACGGACTCTTTGTGTATTTAAAAATAAGTTTTATTTTGAACTTTTGGAAAAGATTTTGTAATTTTTTTGCACCATTTTCTCTCACAATTTTCGAGAGAGAGAGAGAGAGAGAGAGAGAGAGTACTTGCCTAGAGTAAAGCATCAAAACACATAGGTGATCACAAGATGTTCCCAAGCTTTATTTATGGTTTATGAAATAAAGAAACCTTACACCAAACGGAGTATACAACAGCTCAAATTTATAGCAATTTTTTTTTTTTTCAAATCCTAAGATATAATCAAGCAGAAGCAACAACCTTGCATACCGGCAGATCTTTCTCTTGATTCGGCGCGATTCCGAGGATCGGATTGCTCTCAAAGAAATTCACCGGTTTTATATCAAAGCTTGACGTTACGGTTGGCATTATCGGGAAGTCCTCCTGGCACGGGACGTGATGGAACCCTAACGTATACCACACCACAATGTCCTTGTTTTCAATTTCACGATCCCTGCAAATACACACAATTATTAGTTAGTTATTCCTATCTTGTGAGATTTTGCTGGGTTTGTTATTGTTATCATTGCAATCTTACCTTTCGGACCATACTGCGAGGGTGTCATCGCCGTGACTTTGGTATACGTACGTGCCACCCGCAAACTGCTCGCTCTGGTTATACGGAGTCACCCAGATTTGGTTATCAGTGAATGCGGCTCTAATTTGTGGTGGGTCATCGTGGTCGAGCAGACTTGCTGCGGTCCCCGCGGGGACAATCTTGTACCCTGCAGGGTTCCCAACGCGGGTTCTCTTGTTAGGGTTAACCACGTGGAACTCTGAAGGGTCATGGAGCTTCAGCTTTATTTGTGCGTCCTTTTCTGTCTTTGCGACGTTCCTTATCGCTTTCATGTAGCTCCGGCGTGGCGAGTCCCCGGGGGACGTCCGTTCTTTTTTAAGGTTGACTTTGACGAACGAGTTGTCGGTCCCGTCCGTGTCCATGTCCAAGTAGAACGTGACGTAGTGATCATGGATGACGCCGATTACGTTTTCCGACAAGAGTGTACCGTAGAGGTACTCTTCCTCATTCACTTGGTTCATGTTCAAGTATGGTGTGCCTTTCACCATCAAGATGCCACTTAGCCCAACCTGTAATTAAGTTCACATTATAAGAAAAACAAAACGAAAACACACAATGCTACATGAAAAAATCAAGACTTGTAAAGTTCACTGTTTTGATTGCATGTATAAAATTTCATTAATTAAAAATTAAGTAAGATAATCTTCAAAATAAGAGGTGATATTACTACTCCATATTATAAAATAAGTAGTGAAAATAAGCAAACAACATAAGTAAAGTTTGATGGTGTTAATAATATAATGTCTAGGCTTTTCATATACTTAGGGGAGTGTATTCAATCAGAATTCTGATAGATTTTTTTGGATTTTGAAAATCCGTAGGCATTCAATTCAGAATTTAAAAAGTCATTTAAAATCTGGGTGTATTGAACTTAGATTTAAAAAAAAAAATCTTTCTAAATATGGTGGTATTAAAAATTGATAGATTTTAAGAGATTTTTAATAATGTGGATTTTGATGGTTTTTTATGCCTTGAGTATAAATACAAATCCATCAATCCTTCACTCTATTGTTTAACAATTTGTTTGGTTCCCTGAATTTATCATTCTGACACTATCTTGTGCTATTCTTGATTGATCTCTCAAGAACCCTAGGATTTGTGCTTTTAACCCTCGGTTTCCAATTTGTTTCTTCTGTCACTGTTGCATTACAATCGTGTTTATCTTTCTCATTTTTTTTCCTTCTGGGAATTCATAGTTGACATTTTTTTTATCTTCTGTCATTTTTTCTTCTATCATGGTTTTTGATTTTATCTTCTGTCATTTTTTTAAATCCTCGATTTCCTTTTTTTTCTTTTGGGAACCTATGATTCAGCATTCAATTGATGTTGGTATAAATCTTTCTGAATACAAGATGAATCGATTACTTGTAGATTTTGTATCATATGAAAACCTTAGGGTCCGTTTGGTATAAGGAATGTGTAGAATTGGAATTGAATTGGAATTGAAATTCCATGAGATTCAATTATATAGAATTGAATTCTGTCAATTCTAATTCATTTTTTGTATTTTCAATTCGAAATCCACATAATTTTTGTGCTACCAAACACCAGAATTGGAATTGAAGTCTTCAATTCCAATTCCACAATTTGAATTCCGTGTACCAAACGGGGCCTTAGTGTTCTTTCATTTGTTCATATTATTCATTTTTTCATATTATTCTAAATGTTTAAATCTTTCAGATTGAGAAGAACTTGCTATAATTGGTTGTTCTAGGGTTTTGGATTCATATTATTCATTTGTTCATATATATTATTCTTTTGTTTGCTTCTTCTCAATTGCAGAAACTAGGGTTTTTTTTAATAAAAAAAGTAGATTTTATATTGTAATTATATGGATATACTCTAAGGACATGCTATAATTGGTTGTACTTTTTACTGCTGGTTCCTTTTTTGTTATTGGAAAGAGCAATGCTAAGGGTACACCAAAAGTGTACCCATTTGTACACCGCCCCCTTCTCCACCACTCATTTTTAATTAATTTTTATTTATTTTTATTTATTATTTTGCCCAATTATGTAGACAAGAAGGGGGTGGGGGACAAATGGGGTACACCAAATGGCGTACCCATGGTGTACCCCTAGCATTTTTCTATTGGAAAGGTACCATTAACATCAGTTGTTCGGGGATGACGTGATAATAGTGACATTTATTCTAAGCAAACTATGGAAAAAAAAATGTGTTCTTGAAGATGTCGCCTGAAGAATGACTAAATTGGATACGTCATAAAATGAGAGGATAAAATGATAAAATGAATGAAAGAGTCATATGACTTTATTTTGAATGTTTTATATAGTGACTTTATTTTGGTTGCGAGTTTAGAATACTATCAGTTTATTAAGTTATTTTAAAATATGTTTGGCTTACATTGTTGTTAATTATATGTTGGTGTTGAGCCAATATATTATTTTATGCTATTAAATTTATGTTAACAATACTGACAATAATGTTTTTAAAAATACTGTCTTCATTTTATTAAATTGTTTTTGAAGTTTTTGGCGAATTTCATAAGTAATAATTAATGTTAGAATATGTATTAATTTTTAAAATAACTCAAATGTAAAGATAAATAATATATGAATTATAAACAATCTATCGGCATTTTATAAAATCCTGCTGACAAAACCCATGAAAATCTATCTAACTCTGCATATGCTCAAAACAATCTATTGATTTTATAGAATCTATAGGTTCTAAACAATATATCTGAATCTTTTAAAATCTGGGTTGAATACACCCCTTAGACTCGTTTTTTTCGATTAGAATTTCAGAGTAGAATGCTGGAAGAAACTAGGAGTTAGAAGAAACTAGAAAAAATTAGAAGAATTTAAGTGTTAAAAAAATCATTCAATTAAATAATCATCCAAATATACATGTAAGAAAATCTTAACTTGAATAAAAATAATTTCAACATTCTCCGTGTTTGTGGCAATATGTTATAAATTTAGATACTCCCTCCGTCCCAGAGATTTCGTCCAGTTTTGACTTTTGGAACTGTTCATCTAAGCACTTTGACTCATCAAATTCTCTCAATGTATAAGCCTAAATATAGTCATGTGTGATCTTGTTTGATTTGTCTTAACATATAGATTATTAATATACAATTTCTATAATTTTTTAATATACAAATTGCAAGATAAAATGGATTAAAGAAGTGTATTGGATGGTATGTAAAAATGAAAGTAGACAAATAATCTGTGACGGAGGTATTATATAATACTCCGTATTATTTTATATTAAGAATATGTAAATACATTGTTGGAAGAAACTCGAAAATTTAAACTATTCTGGGGAGACTAGTGATTGATAATCATAATTAAGAGAAGAGGACAAACCTTAATCCTGATAAGTCCATCATTTTGGAATTCCCAGTCAACGATATAGTCATAGTTGGCCACGGATGCAGCCATTCTCACCACTAATGTCACCTTCGGCCGTACCTCCCTAATCTGCCAAATAACCCACACTTTATTAGATTATTATTACGTCATTCTTAAGCCCTTCTTTCGTTCAAAAATATTCTTCTCGGTTTAATTTTTTTCGTCCAAATAGTACCACTAAAGCATCAATACTCTCTCTGTTTTCAACATTTTCCGGCAAAGGAGGCATTGATGATCGGAGGGAGTGTGGGTGCTACGTTTAAAATTACGAAAACTTTAGAAAAAGTTTCAAAAACGCCAATTTTTAAAACTACATCAGACACAGCCGCAATGAAAAAAACATTAGTACACGACAAAAAGAGTATTTAATAATTAGCCATTCAATTACTCATCCACTCTACTTATGTCCCACCAAACCATAGATTTATTCTTCTTTATTCAAACGTTGTAATCTCCAACTAGTCATAGTGTGCCACCAAACGTTAATGCTCCCTCTTAAATCTTTACTATTTTGACTTTTGATCAAAAATAAAGAAAATGTAGTTTTGATTAAATTTTTAATTTTGTTCTTAATGTGATGGGTAAAGGTAAAATGTGATACTTTAGTTATTAGTGAAAAAGTATGATGTTATAAGTAAGATATGAAAAGATAGAGGTAAAAGTGATTTTTTAATAAAAATTAAAGGTATTTTAGAGAATTGAAAAAAACGAAAGATGAATGATTTTATGGAAAGAATGGAGTAGTATCATTAAGGATTCATGACTAATTAATTCATACGTCATAATCAAGGTATAATAATTCATACTCTTCTAAAATAAGTTTCATATTTTTTCTTTTTGTTCATTCTAAAGTAAAATGCACATTTTTTAATTAATTTTTAAGGAGAAAACATGTGACTTCTCACACTTTTTTTTGGTAGGTAAATTTCAACTACCCAATTTGATCCAATCATGAGTCATTAAACTAAGAAGTTTATAACGGGATGAGTGTTCTTACGTTCATGCCAGTGATGGGGCACTCGGAGTGGCGCCACCCGACGTCGCCAGCGTAGCTCTCGAAGATACAAATCATATCAGATCTGACGTAAGGCGTTCCGTCGGCGGCGTTGAAGACGGCGTCCATGTAATAAGCGTTCCTCGGGCAGTCGTTCAACGGGTCGAGCGGCATCGCCTGGAGCCCGAACCCGTACTCACCCGCGTCCATATACGTCTTAAAGTACCACGCGTCGCTCGGGTCCATGTACGGAACGAACAGCTCCGACGTGAACCCTTTGTACATCACGCTCCTCATCTCCCCCGTCACCGGGTCCCGGACCATGGCACGGGACACGATCACGCCCGCCCTCGGGTCGGGCTTCACGTGAAATTCCCAATTCGCCCACCGGACCAAATGGCCGTCCACGGTGAAACTCGGCCCCATCGGCTGCTCGATGGAAATCGGCTTCAGATTAAGCTCAACTGCTCTGACACCGACGTTCCGATTGGAATAGCGGTACTCCGTGTTAGCGGCCTTCGGGACGGGTATCGTCTTCCCTTCATCTGAGATTTCAAGGACTTCTTGGGTGTCTAAATCAATAAGGACCGTTAATCCTTCAATAGGCCTCATGTAGAAATTGGCAGTTCCCTCCATACTGTAGCATTGTACCTTTATCAATCTCCTCTTGTCCTCAATTTTGCGCTCTGATTTTTTCAATTATAAAATAAACAACATTCAAATAACCAATAATTAATAACAAAGAGTAACGTCGCACTAACACGACAAAAAGTTACCATACCATGCATTAAAAAATCTGACGCTTTAAACGATTGTCGTATTATCCCACTTACCGTACCATCCAGAGGACACAGGCAAGCAAGCAAGGTCAGCCAGATCAACGCCACGTTGCACAACCGTCCTGTTAAACGCCGCGCTGGCCAACGGCGCCGCCACGGCCGCCACCATGTCCTCCATCGTCAACATCGGGGACCCGAAATGACGGCCCGTTTCGTGCCGGGTCACCTCGCCTGTCCCCACGTCCACGGTGAGCTCGTGCACCACCCCGCCCGCACGGGCGACCACGGACGCCCTCCGGGGCGGAAGGGGGCTGCCGGGTATCCAACTCAGGACGGCCCGTTTCTCGGGCTCCTCGAGGGTGACGTAGTGGAGGGCGTACGGGGCCGTCCGGAAGGGCCCGTAGGATCTCACGGCATCGCGGACTCCGTTCAGCTCGCGGACCGTGAGCGGGTCGAGCGGGTGGCGCGGGGTGTCGTCCTCGCGGTGTTCGGTGGACTTGGCGGGGTTCTTGAGGACGCCGTGTGTTTGGGACTGGAAGCCGTTCTTGGAAGTGCTGCACCGCCAGGAACTGGCGGCGCAGTCGAGTAGGTCGGTCTTTTTGGCCGGCGGAAGGTTCTGGAGTGTGAATACCAATAGAAGAAGCGCGGAGAAGAAGAGGAAAAGGTGGCGGAGGAAGTGTTTCCCGTCCATGAGTGACTGACTGATTCAGTGAAAGAACGGTGGCGGAGGGCCCACCTCGATGACGGAGCTCCTGATGTCAGCTGGGGTATATATAACACAGAGGACAAAATTTACTCTGTACTCCTTAAGTCCTTATTACCCTTCAAAAAAAAGTTTGAGAGAAAAAAATGTTTTACACTATAATTTTACTCCGTACATAATTAAAGATTTATATAGATTTATTCAGTTAAATTCTAATAATTTTCCGTAAAAAAAATACTCCCTCCGTTCCACAAAAAAGTTCTCATTTTGAATAGTATTTAGTCAAATATTTACATATTTTAACTACACATTATGATAAAGGTATATTAAATTATAAAATAAATTTAATTTTGATAATTGGATTCATTTTAGGATCTAGTTTTGATATTTCAAAATTTTTTAGCATTTCTTTATTTAGGTTATATTTAATTTATGGTCAAAGCGTGTAATTATTTGACCAAAAATACATCAAAATAGGAACTTCTTTGTGGGAGGGAGCATAATACTTAAGAGTTAGAGTCCATTTGAGTGAAATGGAAAACGATTTTTTAAAAAGTGAATTCTAGAAAATGACATCTAAAAAATAAATTTATCTTCTCGCGTTCGGTCAAAAGTTTGGAAAATAAATACTACAAAATAAAACTAGTTTGAGTTATATTTTTACGTTATAAAATATGGTGAGTTTTATAAAACATGGTGAGTTTTTATATAAAAACCAGGAGAAATAGTTGAAATTATATTCCTCAAAAAGAATGAGAATAATTTTTTTTGAAATTATCCTAAAATCATATTCTCCTTTCCAAACGCGACCCTAAGACATCATTTTCTCCTTTCCAAACAGACCCTAAGACATAAAAGAGATAATTTAGTGAAAACAAAATCAGTCATTTTACCTCTCCCCAATCACAGCATGATAATCATCATCTTTATCATCATCATCATCATCATCACAAAACCCAATCACAGAAGAAAGCATTGAAATCCAAAGAGAAACACCATTCTGATCATCACCCTTCTCACTCAGTCTCTTCACATCTTCCTTCGAAACCCCGCATTTGACGAGAATAACCCCGAGAGATTTGAACGTAAACCCATCGGGCCTCACAGAAGAAGATGAAACCAGCATGTCCTTAAACATAATCATTGCATCTCTAAACCTTCCCACAAGTGCATAAAGCCCAATCACATTGTTATAACTCAACACATCATTCAACAGCTCCTTTTCTCTCATTTCTTTAGCCATTTGAACCGCTTCGTCGAACATCCCGTTCCTTCTGTACATGCACAACATCATAGCATAAGAAAACTCATTCGCGTCACCTTTTCTCCTCAGCCCATCAAAAATCTCTTCTGCTCGTCCGATCATAGACCGCAAACTATACAGATTGATCATACAGTTCGAAGAGTATGTGTCGGGGCCATCCTCAAGAGACAGAAATGCCGTGTATATCTCTTCAGCATCTTTCAAGAACCCGACTTTACTATATATCTTTATCAAAGAATTGTATATGACAGAGTTCTTTTCCAACCCATTTTTCCTCATTTCGTTTAAGTAAAAGTTCACACCTTTAACACTTCCAATTTCAGCAAACGCATTTATCAGAACACCATAGACTACTGGATCGGGCTGGATGTCAAACCTGATCATCTCTATGTATAAAGAAACCGCCTTTTCAAACTGACCTGTTTTTATGAAACTGGAAATGACAGCTGAATGAGGAATGCAATCATCCACCAAGCCTGCCCCTTGCATTTCGGTCAGGTAACGTTTTGCCCTGACAGGCAGATTGGCACTGGCTAATATCTGGATGATGGAACTGTAGCTGCATTTATCTGGAGATATATTGTGTTTCTGGATACTGTCAAATAAGAGGCAAGCTTCATTGTATTTCTTGCTTATCCCGTAAGCCTTGATCATTACATTGAACTCGAGGACAGTAAGGGCCCGTTTGGAACCTGGGAAATGCTAAGGAAAGAAAATAGGGAGGAAAATTAGAAGGAAAGATTATTTGCAAAGAAATAGAAACAGGCTCAAACTCAATAAACAAATGTGCATAAGCTTTTTAAAGCATATAATCATATTACAATGATCTTTTTCTGAAAAAATCAGAGGTGAACCAAAAGCATAAGAAAATAACTTTCCATAGCGATTTCGTTCCTTTCCCTATCATTTTCCAGGATCCAAGCATATCCCAAGCATTTTTACCTCCCGACAACAATCGAAAACTTTCTCCGCTTCCCAAACATGGCCGTGCTCTCCAAACGCATCAATGTTGGCAGAGTAACACTCGGGAGTCATCCTCCCACTAAGGTGAAACCTATGGAACCATGACCATGACCGTTCCAACATCCCGGCTACTAGATACATTCTAGTGAGGGCTGACTGCGTATACTCGTCAATCTCCATTCCCTTCTCATCCATCTCTAGAACTAGCATGTCTGCTTCAGAAACCATCTGCCTTATTGAAAAGGCATACAAGAGGGTTCGGTAGCTTACGATGTCTGGTTCTAGAGACGCACTCTTCATCGCCTCAAAGTAGAATGATGCAGTCTCTATGTCGTTGTGTTTGGCATGGAGAAAAATAAGGATGTTGTATGTCCGTGTATCGGGACAGCAGTCAAGATCCTCCATTTTCTGCATTAAGGATCCGACTTCCTCCATTCGGTTATTATTACCATACAAGTGAATCATTGTGTTGAAATTTACTGTGGTTGGTGAAATCCCTTCATCAAGCATCCTTTCAAAAGCCTCACTTGCTTCTTTTACTTTTCCTGCTTTCCCATATGTGTCTATCAAGTTGTTATGCGTATATGAGCTCAAACAAAGAGGTGAACTAATGCTTTCATGTGCTCTTCTTGCATTTACAGTCTCCCACTGCTTGAAAAACTCTTCAGCTTTCTTAAAGTCCCCTGCTTTTTTATACATTTGAACCACAATTCCCATTGTGACCTCATCTGGTTCCATCCTGTTTTGGTACATCAAGTCAACCCACTCCATAGCTTCCTCTTGACGACGAGCTTTGTAATGCACGTCAATCAACGTCCCATATGTTGAATTCACGGGTTCAACCCTCCTCCCCCTCATGTCATCCCACAAGTTCTTTAGTTCTGTCCACCTCTGTGCTCTCCCTAGAACCCTCAACATAATGTTGTAATGAATCACATTTATCTCATAGCATCCCTTTTTCCTGAACCAATTGAAGATCTCATAAGCTCTTTCCCAGCCCAGCTGTTCCTTGAGGATTATACTTCGTTCTTTGTTGGTCAGAGTCCTTTCCCATGGCTTCAACGCCTTGTCCAAATCATCACACCTTCGTAAAGCCTCTAAAATCGCCGGAACACACCCTCCGTATTTCACACATTTCGTCGAACAGTTGGTCTGCACATCTTCACGCAAATTTCTAAACCCAGTCTCGCGGGTTCTTTTGCTCTTAGTTTCTAACCTACCGTATGGCCGTTTGGTAAACAACCCAATTCGGGGTTCCGAAACTCCATTTTTCCTAATACCACCTTGAGCCGCATTTCGCCCTGATTTCATGTCAAGATTCTTGCTTTCTGCAGTTTTGCCATCCGGACCGGGTCGGATTTTCTTTTGGGGGTAGAAATTCTTCGCATGTTTTGAAGAAATCTTGGTTCTTGGAGTGCTTTTCGAAGAACTCCGTGTGCAAAAACAGTTGGGATCAAAATGTTGAAATTTCAGAGACATTTTTCTAACTTAATCTGTAACTATGCCGTCTCTTTTGAGAAATAAATCGGAGGAAGGTTGATGGGCAATGAGAATAGAGAAGTGAGAACATTCCGGAGTTGGGGGTGGGCGCGCCCTGAACCTATACCTCTGAATCCTCTGATTTAAACTAAAAGGTTCGCTAATGGTAGGGATGAACCCCAAATTCATATTGGTATCATTTTCTGCAAGATAACGGTACAATACCATAAGTCCATACCGACCATACTCATGTTCAAATTGTATCAAGAAATAGAAGTATATGTTTTTATAAAAAGTACAACTTTATTAAATAGAAGTATTTATTTTGAATTTAAATGATCATAAATATGAAGAAAAAAGGATGTCAGGTCCATATTTTAAAAATAGTTTTTTTCAAGTCATACAATATTGGGCTATAAATAACTCAAAAAAATAATGCTAATAATAGTAATAAATATAATAATAACAATAATAATGAAAGAATTTAAAAAATGAACAATACAATATGAATTACTCCATATAAGGTATGATGAGGTAGACAAATAATTATTTGAGATATTCCGTATATACTATCTCCATTCATAGATATTTGTCCAGTTTTGATTTTTTTTCGATCAACTGTCTTCTACTTTTGAGCTATAATTTAATAAAATATATATAGTATATTAATTAGATAAAATAATATTTTGAAAATATTTGATATAATAAATCTAATAAAGTTATTTTTGTATCATATTTAATACTCCATATCATTTTTATGTAACACACTGAGACGGAGGGAGTAATATTTTTCTTTGGATCCAACAAATCTCTCTCCAGCACTTGTCACCGGAGTCAAAAATCGAGAACTAACAATGGCAAAATTGAAAAATGATAGAAGTAAATATATCATTAATTTTTCTTATCTACTTATTTTTAAGCTAGATTTTTCATTTATTCGTTATAACCAAGTTATTTACGAATCAACCGTTCACTGTTTAGAAATATTTCTAAATAACTTATCTATCATTCAAGTTATTTTATTTACACAAAAGAATATTTAGCTTATAAACAATTTATAGGTTAAGAATTGTTTATCTGCAATAATCTAATAAGTACTAGTATAGAGAAACATCCCTTGTATTAGGGGTGGACGAAATAACCAAACTATCATGGTAACACACCGCACCGTAATGCTATCGAACCAACATCAAACATGATGTAATAGTGATAAAAAAATTAAAAATCAATTATCACGGACGAATCGTTCAAAGTTATCAATGTAACATTTCAAATACTTGACTACTTCATCTTACCATATATTGAGTACTTCCTATTGTGTTATTCTTTTTTAATATTCTTTCAATATTATTGTTATTATTATATTTACTACTACTACGAGATTTTTTTTGGAGTTATTGCTAGTTTTATATTGTATGAATTGAAAAAAAAAATTATTTTTTAAATTTGGACTTTTTACCTTTTATTCTATAGATTTATGATTTTTTTAAATTCAAATGATTACTTTTTTTAAAACAATGTTGTATTTTTTATACAAAAAATCGTACTTTTGTTTTAATATTATTTGAGTAATCCATATTTAATATTTTTTGGCACATTTGAACATGAGTATAATCAAAACGGAATGATACTTAATTATTATGAGATTAATTTTATATTGATACCAAACCGTTTAAATAAAAGCAGTTTTGTGATAAGTTTCGGTAGTACCACGGACCCCGCTCACCCCTACCTAATATACCATGTCTTTCAAATTGAAATTCTTAAACTCAGATTCGATTATTGAAAAACCAAATATAGAGAGCTTCGTTTTTTTTTCTTTTTTTTTTGAGGTTGTGGAAAACGCAACTAGGAAGAGGGGTCCATCCACGTGGGTTCGTTCATAGGTCCTCCGATCATATCCACACTTTGCAGGCGGACATATCAATCCAACTCCCCGGAATCGAAATTCGCCCACCGCCTTCCATGATCTCCTTCAAGCTTCCATAGCTAATGGTTTCGCGCAGAGAGGGCGGACTTGAGGATCAGCAATGAAAGGCGTCTTCTCAGCGCCTGGCGATTACATCTACTTCAAGTCTCAGGTCCCTCTTCATAAGATCCCTGTAAGTAATCTGTATTCTTCATCCTCCTTACTGCCATCTCTGTGCAAACGAGTTTAAGAAATTTAGGTCTTGCTCCTTTGATTCTTATCTCCATTGTTATCCCTCTGTTTCGGTTCTGTCAGTTATTTCATAATCATGTGAACTCATCATGAAGATTTGTGCAATTTCGATATTTCATGGATGTAAAAGTCGCGCGCTGGACTGTTTATACTCACTTTGCTGCTTGTTGTGCTGAAATTTATACTGTTAACTGTGATCAATTCGCGTTGCATCTGCTGTCTCACATTTGGCAAGTTTCCTATAGTTAAGGTGCACAGAGTTCTCCTAGCCTTCGTTTGATTTAAAAGAGAGGTGGGGAGGGGAAAAATGTTTTGCTTCATTCAATTGAGCACTTGAGCAGCGAGGAGGAATTATTTATTTTAATTTTTTTGAAGAGTAAATGGATATTTCTAAATTTGATATAACTTGTGCTGTAATTAGAAGCATAGTAATCTTTATGTATAATGATAATAATGTAGAACACTTGGAAGAAAAAGCTTAAAAGAAATTAAGAAACAATACATTTCCTTCGAAATACCCTTGATTGGGAGAGTGAGAAATGAGAAGTTTGGAGGATAATATAGCTCTTCCACATCCCCCTTTCAAATTTGTCATCCAACCAAAGAAGAGCTTGGGGATGGAATTTCCATTCATCAATGAAATTCCCTATCTAAGAAGGTTTTTGTAGTTTCAAAACATGATCCATGGAACAATAGGATCGTGTTCGGATCTGTGGTAATGTGCCTTAAATCCATTATTGATGATGAGCATTGCTATTACTTTTATTTTAATCACCACTCTTATAGAATGTGAATTTAGTTAACAAAGATGTCGGCTTTTTGGTTTTTATCATGCACCATATTAACCTCCTTTTTGTTGTAGATTGGGTCAAGACAATGGCGATATTATGATTTTGGCCCTAGAGTGGTTCCTCCACTCATCTGTCTTCCTGGTATAGCAGGAACAGCTGATGTATATTACAAACAAATCATGTCATTGTCCATGAAGGTAGTAATTTTGAAGTGTTTTTTTCTCTCCTTTGGCCTATATACCTATCCTGCTTCTCTTTGTTCTTATGAACTAGAGAACTATAGCTATATATTGTGAGTGATATAGCACTGTGAAGATAAAGCTTAAATGGATAACTGTTATGTGGAAATCTGTAAACACCTTTTCATCTCACTTTTCCTAGAGAATACTGAGACAAAGTGAAATTCTGTTGCTTTTATTAAGTTGTTTTTTTTTTCTATTTAAAGTTTTTATTTCATACACTTATGTAATGACATTTATTTTCAGGGCTATCGTGTAATTTCGGTAGATATTGCCCGTGCGTGGAACCATCGTGAGTGGATTCAAGCATTTGAGAAGTTTCTGGATACTATTGATGTTCACCATGTAAGTTCTCTAACATTGGTGACCATCTTTTTCTTTTTGAAAATGAAAAGAAAAAAAGGCCTATTTCTAGGAAATGCCTAGGCACGGGGCACCCCCGCCTAGGTGCCGTAGGTAGCCCTCCATTGGTCAGCTGGAGCCTAGGGCCTTCTGTAACATGGGTTGCAATTCTAACGGGAGAGATTAATTTTATCTCAATAATATGTGATGATGGACTAAGTTTACAAAATTCGAAAGAATCAAAATTACAATTTACATAATGTCAAACACCTGTGACAGTTGGCAATACCATTAAAATAGTTTTGACTGCATTTTTTGGTTATAAGGAGCAACACTTCTACGAGTCATGGACTCATAATGCACCTTGGTTTGGGCAGATACATTTATATGGCACAGCGCTTGGAGGATTCTTAGCACAACTATTTGCTCAGTATCGCCCACGACGAGTTAAGTCACTGTTACTTTCGAATACATTCTTGGACACATCTAGCTTCTCTGCTGCTATGCCATGGGCCCCAGTGTAAGTTACTTGCTAATGCACAAGTTTGGGTTCTATTTAAATACTTACATAGAAAATTTCATTGTTTTGACAACTTACGTAGTATTATCTAAAACCTTCTCTGACAGTTTGACCTTGATTGGGAACAACAAAAACTGTCTGTTTTAGCTAAAGTTAGGGGGTAAATATAGGAAAATGAGAAGTAAAAAAATTGATAAAAGACCCATCTCAAACAAATAAATTCAATCTAAGTATTTGTTGAAAGCCATTTTATTTATTTCTATCTAAAGACTAAGAACCCTGAATAGGTTTTTTTCTTCATAAATTAATCATTCAGTTTCCATCACGTCTTTCCAAGGTAAAGTCAATAATAAGAACACAACTTTCATTAGCCACCCTGCCCATTTTCCCTAGCAGTTTCTATCCTCCAAACAAACCCTAATGGTTGGTAGTACCATAAGAAAAGGCAAACACTGAGGACATGCTATAGACTCAAAAGAAAAGAAGTTTTGAATATACTATCAGACTTGTGATCTTTTTTTATGCCATGAAAGATGATTTTCTTTCTGATGAAGTGTTGGCTGGACACCTGCTTTCCTACTGAAGCGGTATGTCCTGACTGGAATCAGAGATGTCCCCCAAGAACCATTTATTGCAGATTCTGTGGATTTTGTTGTTTCTCAGGTTAAATTAAGTCTTTACTCAATATTTAGATCTTA